AACGATTCCAGAAGAAGAGACAGAGTCTCGAGTTTCCAACTCATCAACCGAGATACAGGCAAGTGTGTTTGATGAGGACGTTAATGATAATGAGGATGAAGACAATAATAAGGAATAATTTTTACTTAGCCGACTTCTAACTCTCAATATATTCATTCATTTTACAAAAATAATAAAGATATGATTTAACCTTTTTTAATCAGTGTCGAGGTTATTAATTATATGATTGAGAATTTTGGCAGGGGGCCCCGGCTGAAAAGTGATCGGCAAAAACCGTTTCCAATGGAAACGATCGAAGTCATATGATCCTATGATTTAATTGGATGATATCCTGATGCATAAGATGGAAATGGGTGGACGGAAAATGGTATATTTACGTTGTTCGTCGCTTCTTTTTACATTGCGATTTCATTTTCTCATATAATAATAATACTTTTTTCCGCTCAACCACACCTATTAACAATGGCACATTTAGTATCTAAGATTGAAACACTTTTATTAGAAGAGATAGTCTTTGTGGTGCATCGGCCGTTTACCTGGTAATAGAAAACAACATTTTACCCTCTTTCGACTACGTAAGAGGAGTAATAGACCGTGCAGTAAATTCGTCTCTGTTGAAAATAGAAGCTATCGAGCGGAAAACTAAAGTATTGGAGGTGTTATCCCAGGTTGGTAAAAATTTAGATTCTGAGATATCAATGCTTAATTATGAGTCAATGGTAAATGTGGATATTTAGTTTTGGTATGTCATAGCTAAAGGTTGGGGAATGCCGGCCCGGAAGAGCTATGTCTTCTAGATGTAGAGGGTTTCTTCTCCTCTCTAACTGTGCGTGACTATCCAACCAAAACAGTGTTATCCTATAGTTTCTGAAACACACATGTGTGGAGGTGGATACGACATAATAACTTTGGGATTGACTAATGTATCGGTACATATTATTGCATTTACCGTAGGCCGAGAGTGGATATATTGGTGTTCGGGTCTTAAGGCGTTCAAGGCATTGAACATAGGAAATGAATCATACCCAGATCGTTCTCGAGAAGAAATAGATGAGAATATTAATAAATTAAAATATAAACTTGAGGTAGACATAAAACGATTTAAAGTGCTATTACTCTAAAAACTAATTGGGTTATATATCTAGCACCCTGCATCGGAAACGGATACGAGTCTTTACGGATCGCTTAGACAAACTCTTGAGAATGTAGACCTGTCGAATCTTACGTGGCGTGATCCCGAAGCAAGTATGATAATTAGCGACGACTCGTCCATGGTAAAGAATCTAGGGCGTAGACAGAAGTCTACTTTTTTGGAACCTCGAGAAAATATGAAATGCACTATACCAGAATCAGTTACGACGAAGTGTAATGAATTTATAAGTAATTTTAACAATTCGAATACTTCGTGGGTTATGAGGGAATATTTCCCATGATAAAAGGTGGAAAGAGGATGAAAATACGATAATAAAAATAACCGAACGTATTCTTGGAACACTTAAGTAATTTATTGATGATTATTATATATTTCCACATTACCCAATATACTTTTATCTGAACATATCCGTGAATTCTATGCATTAGTGGCGAGATATGGAATAACCCCGCATTTATGACTAGTACATCTCGCAGTGAGCAAAGTGAAGGTACTTATGTTACAGACATTATAATTCCTTTGCTTCGATCGAGTTTGGGTGGTGGTACTATTTGCTTAAGTACGGAGGATCGTCAAAGTTTAGCAAGTAAAGCTAGACGGAGTGTAAGAGTAGATGAAGATCGAATGGGGAAAAAGCCTGATATTATGGGGTTACTGAAACGGGATGAAAAGATTTTAGAGTTGAGTCTTCACGTATCATCTGTACTAATTCGAAAAAAATAGATGACGACGTAAAATTATGGAGAGAAACATTGGATGGGATGAGCTTTATAGGTGCATCGTGCAGACCAGCTGGAAATCAATTTGGTGTTGCTGGGCTCCAGATTGCCGGTACAGACTTACGCCTTAATGTTCTAGTAAAGGACTTAGGTGGTATATCAAGATATTTTCATCTAGACCATTCTGAAATTCCATTAACACCACATGCATCACACGCTAAATCCTAGTTCGTTTATTATTAACCTTAAGAAATATCATGATCGTTAACAAAAGCTTATTAGTTAGTGCTGGCGTTGGAACAAGCTAATACTCATCCACCCAGAAATGTTAACCCCAAGTCCTACTGTTTCATCCCCACCTCAATAATTATACATGTATATGTCATGCTGATCCTAGCAATAAAGAATATTTATTGGACATATGATCAAGTCGTATAAAATGCTAGAAAATTAAATCGTATGATGTAATGATTACCCTGATATAGAACGACGCCCATCTGATCGTCCGATATATACCTGATCAACATACCTGATTGACGTTCATTCACTTTCTACTTCATTTTTCTGCGAAAGTAACGCTATTCTTCTGAGTAAGACATCGGCTCTAAGGTTTTACCTTAACGGCTCGTCGAATAGCGTAACTTTTGACTATTAATAATAACGCACCGTAACCTTTTTTTTAGCATTCATAAGTTTTAAAATACAGTATGTCGACTAATAATAAGCGAAAAGAAGCCGTTACGTTGGAGGAGATACAACCCGCGAAAAAGTTGTCACGACAGGCCCGTGCGCGTAGAAATAAAAAACAGAGACGAGAGCAGATTGAGATATCACACGAATCAGTTAATATAGCTTTTGACCCTAAGCGAGTATATATCACTGTTAAACGTTACATATTTTTTCTTTGCGCTAGATTATTTTTGTATTGATAAGACGCAGTTACCTTAGCCTTTATATGGGTTATGGAACAGAACGGAGCCATTAATTGGCCCCCATATCCTAGCGAAGGCAATTTCGTTTGTTCTGCAAAATATAAATATAGTGCTCTTGGTTATAGGCTTTTTATTTAAATTTAGTATTTTTTCATACTCAAGCATCGAACCCAGAAAGACACCCGTGGTCTATGTACTCGAGATAAGGTTGATTACTTAGAAAAGAAATGGATAAGTGCCCCTCTTTCTCCCTCAGATCTTAAACATCTCTTCAAGAGAATAAATAGTATTCGTCATATTTTATGAACAATATTTGTAATGAAAATCGGAGAGATTCATAAATAGGTATTAAGACATAAATCATTTCAAATACGAAAGATAACATATACATAATCATTATATACAATTTATTTTAATCAACTTATAATATAAAATACATGATTCATTTTTAGATGATTCATTTATATTTAACGTATGATAATCAAAGATATATTTACATGAAAAAATTTAAAACTGCTAAAATATTATATAAGCATCGAATTACATCTCATCGGGTATTGGAACTTCCGCTTTCAACCCACGTCTGGCACGCGATAAATCTGTAAAGAATAAATTCTTAGTATTGCTCGCTTTACACGGATTAACAATAGAACGTATTATTTACCGATATTTCCACGTCTCTTATCGCTAGATTTTTCAGGCACTTCTGTTTGACTTTTTTTCGTTTTAGAGGGTTCGATTATTGGGATTAACCCATTAGCATTATTCAAGTCTTGTCGGGGGATCATTGGAACAATTGACCCATGGGAATCTCTCTTGATTCGATCCTTATAATCTTTATAAACCTGGGTGAAGTCTCGCAAATTATGAAGGAACGAACTATGGACGAAATATACAACACTGTGCCAAATCCCTCTAGTCACTGGAAAATTACCATGGAGAAGTAAACGCGAGGAAAATGCTACGATTTGTCCAACCTTAAGAGGAACAACGATTTGTAATTGCGGAAACCAAAGTTCACCCCCTTCGAAATCTCCAAGAGCGACCAAGCAACATAATGAATTTGGCTCGTCGTGCTCATCCCAGTGATAGCCACTGATCGTATTGAAATTAACAGCGATCATAGGGAAGACACCGAAAGATCTAGCTCCAAAAGGTCCCCACTTTAAATTGGATAGCTTTTCGTATAAACTCATAATATTTTTGAAGAAACCAATTAATGGAAATTGATAGTGGTTCGAGATCGTAGATTAATTTATTTACACACTCTAAATGTTTGATATTATGGCTACTTGCACTATTCGAACTTGTATAGGAAAGAAGGTTATTTAAGGCAAATACGCCGAAGTGTTCTATAAATTTTTTCCAGAAACCTTCACTTCTATGTGATGGGTTCTTTAGCGTATGAAAATAGTACGATTAATAGCTTCGGTCGCTTTAACAACGGCATCCATATTATCGAGTAACTCCAGATGAATCAATGTTTGCCCATACCAATCCGTAACGCATTCTGGATTAACAACACAACGAAATTGAGATAACCTATCTATCGATTGAAAATTATTATATGCCGATGCAATTAGGTGGGCCTTTTCTTTTCGGGTATTATGTTCACCAGCGGTCTTGGAGAGATTCTGAAAATCTTTATTATTTTGGATATCAAGAGCGTGCTGGAGCTTCCCCCATCGATTCTTAAGGTGGCGTCGTACAGTTCGCCTTTTAATTGGTTACTTAAACCTAACCATCGTCCAAAAGTAATCCACGACTTGTTATTCACCTTATCGTCGGATGCGTCAATATTATTATTGCTTTGCAATGGGGTTATGCCACTATCACAAACTGATTCATCAGCGGTATCTCCGTCAAGAAACGTTAGAAAATCGGGAGGTAGTTCAGGTATCTCGAGAGAATTATTATTGGCCGATTTCGCTTCCCGGACTAATGTCTCAATAAGAAGATCTTTGGTTGAAATGTCCTGCTGGGTTTTTGTTTCTTTAGACGATTTACGATTCGAGGGACAGAGAGGGACGCTTATCCATTGATTTTCTAAATAATCGATCTTATCACGAGTACAAAGACCACGAGTTGCATTCTGGATTCGATGCTTGAT